TACCACGCGAGCGGTCCGGGGATCAAATCTGGACTTGTCTGGGAGGATAAAAACACTGACATGCACATCGGCTGGCACCCGCAAATCATAGCCCGTTGCTCTAAATTTTTACCAGGCATCTAATGAATGGTTGAACTGGTTTCAGACGCCGCTATCGCCGCCTCACAAGTTCTCAATGGGGATCGTTCTCGTCCGCGCGGTTTCGCGGATGCAGTTCGAATTCACGATCAGCTCAGCTCACCAGCGAAATCTGTGGCGTTGTAGTGGAAGAAGCCAATGTTGGTAAGCCTCACGCTGCGTGGCAGCATTCTTTGGATGGTCCGTCTGACGATCTTCGTCGATTCGTCAAATGGATCGCGCGAGCAACGCCACACGTAGGTGTAGTGTCTTCTGGTCGGGTACCTACAGTGCTGCCTCCTGTTCTCTCTCTCTTTTCCCCAAGTCTCATTGTGAACTTATCGCCTAAATTTTTTCTTCGTTCGTTTCTCTTATGCTAAGCGCTTTTGAGCGCTGTTGAGTGTATTGGCTGAGCTGAGCGTTACATGTGTGCATGTCGTGGCTGAAGACGAGCTCTTCCTTTCTCTACTGATGGTAATTCGAACGAGTCGAAATTCTGGAATACGTCGTTGTTTTTTGCTTGTTACGTTCGTCTTTGATGATATTGAGTGTTGCGTTCTTTCTGTGCCAGTTTGCAATTTTTGAACTAACCTCTGTCGCCTCCTAATCTATTTTCGCAGTATATTTGTTCTCGTTGTGTTGCATAGGTTCCCGTATATATTTTCAATTGAATTCTGTTTTTTTTTATAATCTCTCCGTGTTGGTGTCTTCGACATGCGCTGGCTCCGTTCAGATGTTTGTAACTCTCTGGCGAATTGCAGCTGACGTCAGCTGCAATGCAACTGCGGCCAGCTGCATTGGCCGATGTCAGACTTTGCGATTGGAGCGATTTTGCACCAATTGCAGCGCCAAAGTGCGAGCGACGGGAGATTTACCCGAGCGGCGCCGTGTGTATCGGTCGTCGGCGGGTAAATCTCCCGTCGCTCGCACTTTGGAGCGATCCGTCGCTCCTGCAATTGGTGCAAAATCGCTCCAATCGCAAAGTCTGACATCGGCCATTCAGTCAAATATGAGAGACACATGCTTTCCATCCTCCGCTCTCTCTCTCAGTGGTCACGTCAATCCTATTTTTCCTGTGGACTATAGCGCACCTCATCCGTAAAGCCAACTCTGTGAAAGTATCCGCAGGCATCTCTCACCACTTTGTCATTCTTTAATGTGCGCATACTGGTATTTGTTTGTTTGTGTTTCTACTTGTCTTCTATTTGTGATGACGTATATATGTATATACAGCCCATGTCAGAAAGATGAGTATGTGTGAGTCGGCCGGTCTTAGGACGCGCGCAGTTGCGTCGCGGCGGATCGACCGAGTTGCACCTCGGGCGTAGCGTTCAGGGTTTTTGGGCTGTATGTGCTACTGTGTAGCTCTAAGCTCATCATCACCATCATCATTCGATTTATTAAGAACTTATTATTTGATTTTTTTTGTTCCAACGGATCGTTGGCTTTCATGTCGGATGTGGCTGAGAATTTCTAAGGTTGTTTCATTTGTTACAAAGCGGCATATTGTGATAAATTGTTATCTATTTGAAGAGATTACGAATTGTACATATGTGCTTGTTGATAGTCGAGCATTGTCATAATCATTGCCAATCAAACATATTGAGGTTGTGTGATCGCGCCACAGGCACGGCGCAGAACATGGTACTTTGTCGCCGCCTGTTGGTCGAAATTGATACGATCACCAGAAGAAAACCAATGGTTGGCCGAGGGTTAGTTGTGTTGGTTGGCCTGAGGTGGTAATCAAAAGTGTCATGTGTGACTGATAGCCTAATCAAACAAACTCACGGCCTGCCCCAGCCAACTCGAACAGCCGCGTACACCACTTCTGCCCATGCAACGGAACGAAGGAGTTGGCGGAAGCTTTGAGGGGCCAGGACGGAAACGGAAAGGGGGCTCAAATTTGGGTATCAAACAAAAGACGAGATGGGCGGATGCTTGGCTGGCGCCCTTGTAAAATGAGCCTCGTAGCCATGGCTCCTTCTGGCAAATATTTTCGACATTTATCCCCGTGTTCATCACGCCTTGCTAAATCCAGCTCCTCTTTGTTTTTGGATGGATTAAATCAATAAAATGTTCTTTGCTGAACGCAAACTAATTAGTCTGTTTATCGGTAATTTTCAAATAACAGTTGTTCACGCTATTACACAATATTCGTCAAAACATCCTCTACTGGATCACGTCAGCAGAAACATGAGTCAAAATGTTGAATGACCGTGCCGCAACTGCGCGCTAAGGGTTTCTTACCAGTTTCAATTGCACTTTTTATCTGTGACTGTCCGCTGGTGGTAAACATTTTGAAAAATAAGTGCGTAAAGCATTCGATTGATAGCTGCACGAGGGAAGGGGGTGTGGGGTACTTAGGACAGAACGCGACTTTTTCGCTCTTCGCAACGCGACATCGCGCGGCAGGCTGGCGCACCCGCAGCGAAAACAACTACGGTATGGAAGAACGCGCGATTGGAGCAGCTTTTTTTGCATGCGTGAATTTTGTAAGTTTCTGATTCCTTACTTGCCCGCGCTCACACCCATTGTATTGATAAATGCGGTGAATCACTAATTCTGTCTCATTATTGAAAACGTTTTGTGACTTACACGATTCCGGGCGATGCCACAAAATGGTGTTTTACGAATTATCGGTGAACGAGGTTTAATAGTGTCGCTTGTGCTTGCATTTTGTGGGTTCATATTGTTGTATAGACATCTGCATAAGGGTATAACATCTTTTACGGAACGCTTCTGTCCTCATCACGGATATGATACTCATTTTTGACGCTGGCGCCATTTGGGGCCGGGTGGCGCCACAACTGATTCCCACTAAATTCGCTGTAAACTTCTGTATAGGGGTTATTCGGGGTCCTGATTTGTTGTTAGCGCTATTCGGCGCCTGCTTCCTGCTCGTCTGCGCCCTCGCACTAATTAGATCGCAATAGGACTAAGCCTTTGAGTAGTGTAGGGCTCCAAAGTGGGTAGGCCATTCCCCTGTGGTCTGACACACTCCAACTTTTGCCACACGGTGCGTGGTTTACCCACTCCGGAGTTTCACTCCCCTCCCCTAAGCTTAGTCGTAGGCGCTGTAGGTGAGAAAGCTTAGAAAAGCAGAAAGTATGCGTTAAACAGCACGAATGTGAAAAATGAGTGTCATATTCATGATCAGGGCCCCAAATAACCCCTATGCAGAAGTTTACAGTCGTCTCATCAAACGTCCATCAACCATTCCTCTTCCAGGTTCTCCAGAAGCTCTACCATCCATCTCTGCAAAAATAACCTACCTCCCTCTTCACTGCTAGTTAGCGGTCCACTTCTGGTTACCATTTCCTCGTTCATTATCAAATCCATGGCTATTAAGCTTCAAACTCCTTGTCGCAATCAAAGCCGACACAAATATCGCGCTCCAATCGCGCGTTCTCCATATACCGTAGTTGTTTTCGCTGCGGGTGCGCCAGCCTGCCGCGCGATGTCGCGTTGCGAAGAGCGAAAAAGTCGCGTTCTGTCCTAAGTACCCACACCCGAGGGAAGTTCTGGTTGTGGTATTGTAGGGATGAGGTTTTAGATTTTTTTATGGGGCACCGTTTGAGTGAGTGCTAGACGCAAAACAGACGTTTCGCAGAGCATCAAGAATACCAGCACACATCGTCCTATTGGATTATTTTCTCTTTACAGGACGTAATAGAACTTAAAATACTCATCAGAAGCCAACATTTGGTTCCTGTAACGTAAACTGCCGTAAATGCAGTTCGAAACAGCACACCGCTGACGTCAGAGAGGACGGCGTAAGCTCCACCATGTGCTTAGCACTCTTTCTGCAATTAAAACTACACAGGTCACGAGAAGTAAATATAGTCAACCCTCAAGAACTGCGTCTATCCAATGGGGAGCGTGAATAAGGAAGTTTGCAGATTTCGATACGTGGCTTACGCCATCAGAGTGGAAGGTACAAAAGAATTCTGTATCTCATTTCGCATCTGCGGGGGGGGGGGGTAATAGACAGACCCTAATGTTATGTACTTGTGTTCCAACCAAGGTCAACCGCTAGTTGGGAAAGTTCCCGATTGACTATGGGGATCGTTTCAAAGGTTTGAGAGGGGGTTGAGTGGAAATCAAAAGTGGGTTAGGTTTTCAGGGAAGTGGTTTTTGTTATTGGGAAAAGTTGCAATTTTTGACCAAGTGAGGCTGACGTGAAGTGGAACATGTGTTGTTTCATCGTCCGGGCCATTTTGGAGAATTTTATTGAACGCCGTCGAAGTGTTTCAAATGATCGCAATAGTTCTGGGAGGATAGGGTAAGGTGGTCGACCTGATTCCGGAATTTTTCCCCAACTTGACGCTAGACCCTGGTTCCGACCACTAAAAATCAGCAAGCGTTCACGCCTTTCTGTGCAAAGCTGGGGCACAAATCTGTCAGGAAAATTCGCTGGCGGTTTCATTCATTTATCGATCGTAACGATCAAGCACTGATCTGCATTCTCCTATCAGATTTTTTTCGTACGTTTTTTCCTCGGAAACACAAAATCCAAACAGATGGTTCTTACTATTGCATAGAATCTTCGTGCAGAGGTCCAGAACTACGAAGCGCTACCACTGATTGAGCTCCTCTATACATTTCCTCTGCTCACTTGAAAGTGTTCGAACGGAAAGGCGAGCAAATGAGAAACATCTTTGTTACTTATGAAGATGAAAAATGCGCTCCAGGGGCCATCCTAGAAAAGTGAACTCGTCCAACGGCTTTCCATCTAACCCGGCGTGTTCTTTCCCTTTTAGCCAAGTTTTCCACGAATCCTTGGGAAAGTATGTTGTTTGTCTCTTGCCAGTGAGGCACAATAGAGTCCAAGGAGCACAGTAAACTAAATAACTGCAAGATGCACCCAAAATGAGACATTTTCTTTGGTTGGGTGCAATCGTTAGACGAGTCGCTGCGCCATCTGCCTGGTTCTATTCATCCTTCTCCTGTTGCTTACTTTTCTTCCTAAAGGACACCCAATACTCATTTTTTCCAGCTGGTACGGGTTCAAATGAGCGGAAACTGTTGAAGAAGGCTCTTTGTTGAAAGTGTCGCGACCTCCACCGCGGCCGCCGCGGACGAGTTGTCTCGCCGACGAGGCGATCGATACTCGGCGGGTGGCGTCGCGGCGCCGTCATACCCGAGTGGCTGTCGGTTGACGCGTGTGTGTGGACGTTCAGCGCTTCTGGCTTCTTTGGCGGAGGGTTGATCTTCCGGATAGCATCCATCCGCTTCCATCTATCTACGAGCTGTGAGAAGTCTCCTATCGCCACTCTCATACGCGATTTAATCGCGAGAAAACAGCCAATTGTTTTTCAATAAGATCTCTCTCACAGTACTGTTCTCGAAATTATGGTCCGCGTATGCAGAGTGGTGCCAAAAGAGTGAGGAAGTTTTTTTGCGTTTTCTTATTATAATATATTTTCATTTCAGTTTTTACTGCTAGCTTTTTTATTCTTCCCCATTTATATTCGGCCATTTCACCGCCTTTCATAACGACAAATGCTAATCGCATTTGTTTTCATTCATAGAGTGCCGTTCTTGATGATGATGTGTTGATGATTTTTTGGGTTTCTTCTAAATCGCATATAAACCCCAGATATGTTTGGTGTTGACTTGTGGCGGTTAGAACTGCTCAGTTTCACCACAACTACCACCCGCACACCATCGTCGCGATACCGAACACCGAAACCGCGTTCTATCATGAAAATTGATTTGTAATTGATGTGATCTGCTGACATCGTGTTCTGGATGACAACTCGGATTTTCTTTAGATGGACGAGATACTCACCGCTTGGCGGGGTGATACCGCGCACGCGGTTCATCGTGTTCAAGACGCCTCTGAACGATCGGCTTCTCACCAGAGTCGATCCCTCGCAGAGGTTCACCGTCAGCAATCTTATGTGGATGGTATGTTTTGCTTTTAAGATTTGAATTTTGCTATGCCATGATTTGGTACTATTTACCCTCTTCTGTCTCACTCCGGTTGACGGACTACTTGAACCCGGTCCTTTAAGCCGCCTCAGATCATCTCTCGTCTGCGCTCTCTCACCTTATCAGCGGCTCATGACCATTGTGATCTCACACATTCAAACTTTTGCCACACTGTAGTTGGCTCACCCACCTCGAAGTCCCTCCCTCCTACAAGGCTTAGTCCTAGGCTCACCTCCAATGGGGCTTGGAGGAGCCAGGCGCCGCGCGCCTTGGCGTTGCGGCAACAGTAAATTCGTGAGCCAGGGGGAATGTAGCCAATTCAGGGGGTGGGGGTGAGGGCAGTCACTTAGCATGCGTAAGAAGCTGGAATGTTCCGTGAGAAGCTGGAATGTTCGAGTTACACTACATCGCTGAGCCGCGCGCGGCGACTGGCCCCCTCCGAGCCACATTGCGCCCTTTCACTCTTCCCCTGGATTTGAACCTAGCCAGTGCCGGTACTCTTACTGTCTGTGCGCTCGCGCCTTTCGGAGGACCATGGAAGGAATTCAAGGGTAGGTCCGTGAACCGTTCTCACTCACGAAAGCTGAGGTATTATCTTAGATTTGGAACTAGGGCTCGATCGGATTTCGTCTGGAAGTTGCCCCCCGGCAGCAGTAGTTTATCCCCGAATGCGAGTCCTGCGCACAGTACGGCTACTACGGATTCCAATCCTTGCGCTAAGTTAACCTGCCATTTAGAAATGTCATCGACACAGGTTGTGAGTGTGCGCAGACGGCAAATAGTGCTGTTGATTTCTGTAGTATTGCTGAAATATCAGTGAATCACCCTTCTTAATTAGAAACTTGGTGAAGGAATTTAAGCTTCACAAAAGTAAAGAGTCAAGAGCACTTCTGATTAGCTGTATCGCTCGAGTCCTCGACGGTACCTTCTGGATGCAATGACTAGGAGAAGTCGAAATGGTGTGAAAGGCAGGCCCTAGCATATCAGTGGGATATCTTAGCGTATTGTTCCTATTTGATCGTCACCATTTAGCTGTGGAAGGTGTGAATGAGTCTCTTTTCTTAGTGATACAGCATTGTTTGATTGAGTGAAGTTGTCAAGAAATGTGATTTTTTAGTTGGCAGAACGTGGACTACGACTTGGCATGGTTGTTGATCTTACTGACACAGATCGGTATTACGACAAAGATGAAATTGAGGGGATGTGCATCCAGTACCAGAAAATAAATTGTCCAGGTAGAGGGTAAGTTGTGATCTGTTCGCACTTTTCGTTTTGCTCCCATTTTTCATTAATGATTCATTTTTGACCGTTCAGGTTTGTGGAAAGGACTGAATGTGTCGCTGAATTTAACAAGGCGATTCAAGACTACATCGATAGGTCTGACGATGAAGGTTCGCTTCTGCTTCATATTTTTCTTTCTATCTCCAATGCCTAAAGCAGCGTTTCAAAATAGTGAGCCTGTCTGCACGTCACAAATCTGATTACAAGCGTAAAATCTTTCTTCGTGAGCAATTCCTATTCTTTGGTGCGATGATTTAGGCTGAAACCTTCGCTAAGGGCGCATTCATGGTCGGTCGTCCGATCATAACGATAGCTCAAGCCGCGGTCGCATAGGGGAGGCGACGCGGTTACCCAGTGCGAACCCAAACGTGACTGCGCATCACAGTATTTCAGAAGTCCAATTCCAGTTCCGAGTGTGGAGTAGTAGATAGGTGTCGATCGCGACACATGCGATCATAACGATTGCATGTGTCGCACGATCATTGCTTTGCTGTACCGTACATCCGCCTTGCACCTTCGAGAGGTTCACGGTTCAGCATCTTATGTGTGATGGTATGTTTGCTTTCAGATTTTGAATTTGCTATGCTATGATTGGACGAGTACTTCATTTACATTCTTCTGTCTGCGCTCGGTTGACACGGACTACTTGAACCCCGGGTCCGATGAAGCCGCTCAAGATCCATTCTCTCGTCTGACTGCGTCCCTCACCTATCAGCGGCTCACGGTACATTGTGGATCACCACGCATTCGACTTTTGGGGAGACGTGTGGTTTCCTCTGGGGTCAGGTCACCACAGGTGCGCGATATCGCACTTTAAGGTTGAGTTACGGGTCTCAGCCGGTAAGACCTCGGTCAGACTCGGCGATTGCGTCGCTGGACACCAGCGACGGAGCCGCCAGCGACGGAGCCGCCAGCGACGGAGCCGCCAGCGACGGAGCCGCCAGCGACGGAGCCGCTAGCCACAAGAGTGGGCAACGGGCGATGACTCATCACACGATCGATCGATCACACTACTAATTTGTATGAAATTTTGGAATGTGGCACTTCGCTCGGCGACATAATAACTAGTCTTTTACATAATTAAGCTTAAGGTAAATTAGCGATCAGGACCTCTAAGTCTTTTCATAGTTTTAAGACACAATGAGGAGTTTGAACTATATCAAAATACTTTTGTACGTATGAACTTCTAGAGTTTTTAACCACCATCCCTTTGAAATCCGAGTTAGCCTTCCAAACGTTCAATTCGTTTCCCAACAATGTGTACTATGAAAGCTCTCATCTGTAGTTACATTTTGTCTATTGGTAAAGTCAAAAATCAGAAAGAAAAACTGCGTTCAGGGGAAATTTTGCATCAATGTTGAGCAAGATTTGGTCGCGCCAAAAGAGGCGCGGTCCCACGAGCACTACGTCCAAATCCGCATTGTCGTCAAAGGATTAATCTCCCCCCTGCCAACGATATCGATCGTGTGATGAGTCATCGCCCGTTGCCCACTATTGTGGCTGGCGGCTCCGTCGCTGGTGTCCAGCGACGCAATCGTCGAGTCTGACGACTGCGTCTCTAAGGCTCAATTGCTTAACAGTGGCATATGTTAAGCTATATTTGGGCTAAGCTAGTCTAAGTGCTTTCGAAAGCGACATGAACGGCGTCTCGTTTCAGTGACGTGACCGGGAGGAGAGAACGCTTACGCACCTAACGGGTTTGCCACACTGTGGTTGGCTCACCCACCTCGAAGTCCCTCCCTCCTGCAAGGCTTAGTCCTAGAGCTCTCACCTCCTTCTCTGGGATTTGGAGACGAGCCAGGCGCCGTTCCCTAACTGTCTGTGCCCTCCGCCATTCGCCCCCCCTGAGCAGCGGACCGATGAGAAGAAAGTTCAAGTAGCCATAACCGTTCTCATACCGAAAACTGGAAAGGTATCTGAGATTTGATATAGGGCCAGGGATTCGTCTGGAAAGTTGCCCGGCAGCGAGTGGTTATCCAAAATGGCGGAGCGCAGCCGATACTAGCCACACGGTCAGCTACCTTCGGAGCCAAATTTCTGGCTAAGTTCACAGCCATAGACAAATTGTAACAGGTTTTGGGATGTGACACAGTAACGGTAAATAGTGCTGTTGATTTCTGTAGTATTGCTGAAATATCAGTGAATCACCTTTTTAATTGGGAGGAACTATGGTGTAGGAAATTAAGCTTCACAAAAGGAAGAGTCAAGAGCCCTTCTGATTAGCTGTATCGCTCGAGTCCTCGACGATACCTTCTTGGACGCAATGACTAGGAGAAGCCGAGAATAGGATGTTGAAAGGCAGGCCCTAGGTATCAGGGGATATTTAGCGTATGTTCTATTTGGATGTTTTTCTAGGTGATACAGCATTGTTTGATTGAGTGAAGTTGTCAAGAAATGTGATTTTTTAGTTGGCAGAACGTGGACTACGACTTGGCATGGTTGTTGATCTTACTGACACAGATCGGTATTACGACAAAGATGAAATTGAGGGGATGTGCATCCAGTACCAGAAAATAAATTGTCCAGGTAGAGGGTAAGTTGTGATCTGTTCGCACTTTTCGTTTTGCTCCCATTTTTCGTCAATGATTCATTTTGACCGTTCAGGTTTGTTCGTTCAGTAATTGATAGCTGCGTTTCCAGTCAGTTTAGAATAATTTATCGCAGATGTATTCATCCTATTTGATGATTTATGGTGCAAGTTCAACGATTTCGTTTCCTTCTAAAGTGTTGAGCTGTGTTTTTATGTTGTTGATGTTGATCTTTATAAAGAGATGGCTTGCCAATGTTTTGCGAAACTGTGAAGTTAGCTAAAAATGCCATTTGCTACTGTGTTAGGCGGTTGCAGCAAGAAGTGTTTCACAAAGTTCGTTTAGACATTATGGGTTTACCTGTCATGCCTTTCGATCTCCAACAGCAGAGGAAACAGTATCGAGCCCCTTTCAAGGTAAAAAAGCGTTTGGCTCGAAAGTCTCAAACTCGTTACGTAAATTCTTTCGGTGAATCTTTTTTTCGATTAGATAGTTGTTAGACTTTGCGATTGCAATCGCGAAGTCCGGCACCTATGTAGCACTCAAAAATGGTAGCTGTGAAGCATTCTGATTAAAATTGCGTTGACTTTGGATAGTTGTGTTGGACCAGTATCACCATTTATCTATCAAGAAAATTTTTGCATTTGTACCGCACATTGGTCTTCTGAACATAAAACTTTCAACTTACGTGGATACTTTGGGCCAAATGCCGCTTTTCAAGATTTGAGTCTCGCCCTGACTCCGCATCTCTTGAAGTGGTGCTGATGATCTAAATTAGAAGAGAAGGTTGCGTGCCTTTTTGCTAGCCCTGATTGGCTGATTTCGCTTCAGCGATGGCGCTTAGCTTTAATTCTGCCATTCTTTTTTCTCCGGAGAGCAGAGTTGGATCTCCTCTCCAAAGTATTATCATATTCCTATCACGATTTCTATCATGCCTGATATTGATTTGTTTTTGTTTTTGATGACAACTGACATAAGTTGGAAACCATCTAGATCATCAATTCTACAAATCCTCATTCTAGAAATATTTACAAATGTGAAATTGTTATAACAATGGAAAATCTGAATGAATCGTTGAATAGGTAATTTCAATCATGTTGTCCTGCTCAGGTGCAGCTTTCAAAGTGAGTCTTACCAAAACCACTTCATTGAGGCAGGGGTATGATAG